CGGAGGGGAGATAGACCCCTCTAAGAAGGACCACTGCACTTTCCTCTGTCCATACCATCCAGGAGAAGCCAGATGCTGACTCTGAAATGCCCCAGCTTGTAGCAACTTTAGAGCACTAAATCCATCTAGTCCTAGACTGCCAGTGGGAGAGGCTGCCTGCAAAATCAACATCCCCATGATATTGGCAGTGTTTTAAGAGCACACAGGAGGGAAAGCTTCGATGTATCAGAATAAAGGGCATGTGTGAAATGTGCCATGGATACTTGGCTTCAGCCATCTGCACCTTGATATACTTCCAGATGTGTTAGACTACAACTCCATCATCCCCAGTCAGCATGGCTGCTTTTGCTGCTGGATGGCATCAGATGTAGCTGTATGTGGATGCAGTGAGGAACTTCTTGGGTCTGTTCTGCTCTTGCCGGGGAGAGAAAGGGGTCTGTCTCCAGCTTCGTGGCCAGGGGTTCTCTGAACCTTCCCTGATAAGGAAGGGATAGAGGAGGGAGGCTGTGCTATAGCAATTTCATATCATTGCTATAGGGGTAGCAGCACATTTATAATAGAGCATCACTTAAAACTGTTGACAGGAGAAAAGGCTGTTGGGGTGCAGATGATAATCCCAGGGCATACCCAGCAAAAACAGCACCCCAAAGATGGAAAGGAAGAAATTTATCCTCCTCACTTAACTGATCCCCAAAGAGCCATTCCTGCCTAGACACAGATGGAAACTTTCCTCTGCGAATGTGCTGGTCCTCCTTTAAGGCCATCTCAGCCAGAGGCTCTCATTCTACCTTTGGGGCAGCGAATGACATACAATTGCACGTCACCCGGAGTAACATTTCCTTGGATCTGGTCTTGAGCTCACTGCCTGCCCCTTTCATTGGATGACCCTAAATTTCTAGCATTACAAAAAAATACAAACATAGTTGTCTCCATTTTCTTTACACAGTGCATGATTTTATATACATTTATCTTTTTAGAGATGAGTTAGTGGTGTGTGGGCAGGCCTGACACCTCCTGCAGCTGTTGCATGGGGATTGCCGCATTCTACTTCGTGGGGTTGTGCCCAGATATGAAATACTCATCCCAGCCACCAGATGAAAACCTTTTGGTTTGCCCACATCTTTTTAGTGGAAACTTCTGTGGTGGGCCTCTCTGTTTATCAAAGAATATTAGTGTTGTGTGCATTTTATGCATAAAGATATCTCCAGAAGTAGTTGGGTTGCAATTTGCACTGTACCTAGAGGCAATGGGATTTAGGAGGGTCTCATATAGAAGGTCTCAGCTTCCCCAGCTGTGCTTTAAATTATATGCCAGACCAAGGAGCAGCTGAAACATTTGTAATAATGTTTAAAAAATAACTGGTAAAGTCATGGTGCCCAGTAACTGACTGAAGGTGCTCTCTTGACAGCCAGAGACGGTTGAACAAGTTTTCTCTTCTGCTCTGAAGAAAGCTGAACTTACTGTTGTGGACTGTTTACAGTGGCACAGAAATGGGAACTCCAGGGATTGATGGCATCTGTTCCAAAGGCTGTCATCTGTCCAAGGTCCAAGCACAAAGAGATCCAGAGATCTACATTATCAGAGAACCATTAAGCGGGTGTCTGAAAGCTGGATCATCAACATTATCCCATCGGTTCATACCAAAAACTAAAGCTTTTAAATCTGAGCTTCCCAAAGCCCTCCCTGAGCACAGCTGCAGGCCACCAGGGCTACATGAGGAATAGTGTAATGATGAGTAGAGCAAATTTCATGAGGATTCCTCAGGTAGGCACTGGAGCATCGAGTAGCCAGCTGGGTCTGCAACTTTAGATGCCTATTGGTACTATTTCGCTACTCAGCGTTTGGGACTTTCCACTTCCACTGAGGGAAGAAAGCCAGTAATTATTGCTGCCACATGTTGTCTGCCCCCAAGAAGCGGATTTCCCAATAATTCAGTGCAAAGTTCACTAAGAAGTCTCCGTGCCTGGTTTACACACATGGCAAAGAAGTAGGCGAGCTTGCCAACTCATGCAGCCAATGAATACAAGGTAACAAATGTTTTCATCACTCAGTGACAAACATACAGCATCTGTTCTTCATTTAGCCACATTATCTATTTTTTCCACAAAAATAATTAGCCCTTCGGTGCAGAATTGTTCAATTTCCATTATTAGGAAGATAGAACAAACATCATCATAAGGAAATTAGAATTCTTCCTTCTGGAATGAAAAGCAAAGGACATGCAACCCAATAATTTCCAAGATGTGGCAGATGCTCCTCCGCAACGTGGAAGGCACACATTTTGCCAAATAAAACAGTCCCTCTCCCGAGCACAAAGCCACTCGAGATGAGAGCTTCTCACATAGAACATCTGCCACATGCATGGGAGAAGCAAACCAATCACCAGTTTGTTTCCTGTAATATCCCACCCATTATAAGCCTATCAAACAGGGCAAGATTATTCACCTTTCTGAGTAACATGAGCCAAAAGAGAAGAGTAAGCACAAGACATCTAGGGTGCCAACGGAAGCATTGCTGAGGTGCTTTCACGCATCAGCTGCAAGAGTGGGCCGAAAGAAAGTCTGCAGAGATTGCATGGGAAAGAAACAAATGCTAAGGCTTGTCTGGGCTCCCTCAACAGCACTGGACCTTATTCTAAATGTCTGTGTCAATCAAAACAACTGAGCCTATCAAAACATGAAGATTGGACAGGCAGGCAAGCATTGTTGGGATATGGTTGAACCACTCAAGAGAAAATGAAGGAGAAGCGAGTAGAGGAGCAACACAGTTCCTCTGTAGTAGCCCATCTTCCCCTGCCCCAAAAAGTCCAGAAGTATTTTTTTCACTATTTTGCATCAGCTTCATCTTGACCTAAAAGATTGTTCAGTTCAATATATGCAAGTCATCTTTAGTTTAGTCATCTTTAGTTTGATGAGAAAAGTGCACATACTCATTTTCAACATGTATATTTCACTCTTGCAAGATTGATAAACATGCAGATCAAAATTGTTCTAGAAGAGATAAAGCTTTAGAGTGGGGATATATGTAAGAGTGTAATAGAACAGGATGAAAGTGAAGTTAAATTGCATTTTACTCCAACATGACAATTATTAACTTTCTAAAGGTTACTCAGAATGGGGATAGAAGCAAGAATAGGCTTCACAAAGTAGAAAAGAAAGTATTAAAAAGGAATAATGAAAGGCTGTCCAGAATTTCAAGATCTCAGTCATTTCTTCTTTTAGGCTCCAAATCATTTTTTCAGGAGCAATATTTTGCTGCCCTATTTCCTTATTGGTATCTGGCATGCCCTCCTGAAAAGCTGAAGAGACTGTGGATCAAGTGAGTTCCTATGCTTTACCATTTGTCAAGTTAGAATTAGTTGACCTCAGGCTTTTATTATCTATTATATAAAAGTAAACTCCCAACGAATGGAAATATCCCCTTGAATGAGAACTTTGTGTTTTTCAAGATCTCAATTAGTTTGCATTCATTCTTCATCTTGCTTCCCATTTTCACTTAGAAAGGGTCTTAGCAAGGGAAGAGACTCGTAAAAATTTTGTGTAAAGCACTTCCTCTACTTTAGGTGATACACAAAACAATAATGTGACAATTTATTCATTAGAATAGGGAAGATGCAATTTGTCTTCAGTGTTAGTTTAAACACATTGTAATTATGATTCGTATGACTGGAGTGGAAACAGAACAAATCATTTGAGTGTCTTGGTGGAAGGTAAAAGATTGACTGCAGAAACATTTAGCTTTTCAGAGCCATTTAAGATAGCAGTGGCATTTTCCTGAAAAATCATTAGATTCATTGTTAAATGAAGAACCTCATCCTGCCACCTTCCCTGCACTTTCTGAAAATCTGCTTGCCTCCTGCAATTTTGGGAGCAAAAATGCAAGCTCTTGGAAGGCTAACCTTATCGGGCATCTACAGAATTTTTACTGCCATTCCTATAAATAAGCTGTCTGCTTACTGAGCTCAGAACTTCCCTCAAAATATGATCACATGCAAAAACAATTCAGAGGAGCTACTTTCATGTGGTAAAGGATGAGCTGGATACCTGTTCCACAAACTCAACTGCATTTCATCATGAACAGATTTGCTACACTGTTTGTTTCTTGTAACAGTACAAGTCTTCTCTTATGTACCAAGCAAAATACATCATTCAGAAGAGAAAGATCTATAACTGCATAACTGGAGGAACTTTACGAAATTACTGAGCATTCCTACAAACATTTAAAGAGCTCATCTAAAATATTCAACTACTAAGGCCACAATGGCTTACAGTTTAGGAGCAATTTAATTAATTTATTCTGATCCCATGCATGTTTGCTTGAAGTCTAGGATTGCATATGATCACATTCCTCATTCATGGGTTTTCTATGGTTTTATGTTCAAGGCTGAATAAACAAAAAACTACTTCAAAGTTTAAAATAACATAACATGTATAACTTCAAATCCATTATGTGTTTACTGCCAATTTCTTCTAGGCACAGCTGAAATATCCACCAATGAAATACTTATTGTTATCCCTTGCATCTCTCTAACATTTTATTTACCAAATAAAGCCCATTTTACTGAACCCACAAATGTCTCTTCCTACTGAACATAATATTAATAAATCTGAGAATGGGGCTGAAGAGTTATTGCCATAAAAGATCGGTTTTGAAACAAAGTGTTTTGTGGCTGCTTAAATTCTAGCACAGCTACTGTTTTCTAGACATGAAAGTAGCACACTGGTTTATCCACATTCTTTTCCACCTAATGAGAAATACTCTGGGCCACCTCCAGAGCCCTGAGAACTAGTGCTGCCTTCTCAGACGTAAAGCTCGCTAAGTTCAGTGAAACTCCCAAGTATATGCAGGCCTGTAGCCTCAGCAATTTAGGAGGAGCATGGTTTCAATCTAAACTATACAGGAAACAAACTGTTCCTGGTATCATGTTTTACAGAAGGAGTAGGAACCGCCAGAGCAGGAAAGAAATCTGATGTCACCTTGGCTTTTCAGAATGCAATAGGTACAATTTAAAGATAGATTTTATTCTCTGATGATTTACTCATGCAAACTGCACACTGAAGAAAACTGTACAGTTTGTGAAACATGTCAAACGCAAGAATCTCAAATGAGAAATACAGAAGTAGTGTGACATACATTTTAAAATGGAATCTATGCTTGTACAACTTTTCTGTTGGCTGAACATAGATAGGATTTTCACTAGCCCCTCCATTAAAATCATTTACATATCTCCTTACACATATTTAGATTTACTTTACAACAGCAACAGCTTTATTACTTAAAAAAAAGCCAACCGTTTTATATTAAATAAGGTTTAAAAATAGAAATGCCTTATACAGCACCAGGCATTGCTACTGCACAAACACCATTCATTCCAGTGAGGAAATGAAGGGAGGTAGAAGAGCACAGCAGTGCCAGGTCATTATGCCCATCCTACTGAAGGGAGCAAACAGAACCAAATTAAGCTACCTGGTTCATCCAATCCACAGTGGGAGACAATCGCCCCAGTCCAGATAAGGAAATGTGTGTAGAAGCAGGCTTCTGTGTTCCTAATTAACTCACAAGGTCAGGGACTGGGTTTGTGTATGAATGTGGATGCCCTCAACTTGCTTTTGGTTGGGGTATATCCCCATTCAGCATGATTTGACTGGATCAGGGCAACGATCTGCAGCGGTTTCTTGTAGAATTCACATTTTATATTGAAGATCTGTGGGTTTTGTTCTTTAAATTCTGAAAATTTGTTTTCAAAATTAAATTCCTTTTAAACATGATAAATGTATTTAGAACAATGTTTTGCAGACTACGCAAAAACCTGTTTCCTTACATTTTTAATACACAAAATATTTAAATTCTTATTTTTGGACAAAGCACTGAAATGATATATACATAATTTGATAACTTTGTCCAGCTTCCATTCTTGTTTGGTTGTACATCATTCAAATTAAAGTTGTTCTCTGCCATTACCACCAATTACAATTCAATGATTTAAAACTGAATGCTTCATTTCATAGTTTGATGGCACCCTGGGTTAAAACAGAGCATAGAACAAATGAGTTACACAACCCACAATAAATGCATTAAATGTTTGTTATATACATAATGGAACTTGCTTTCTACTGCCAGATGTTGCTACTGTGTACTTTGCTGTTATACAACATTTTCTGATGTGAAAGCACACACATATTTTTTGAGCTTTTACAAGTTAATCATAAAATAGTATACTTTTTAACATGAGTACAGAATTAAAATAGATAATGGCACATTAAAAAAACTCAATATCCTACAGATGATTGGATAATGAGAAGAACTGTACCTACAATCATCTCATCAGAAACAAACTACATCATGGAATGTTAGTTATCCAAGTTCACACAGTAAATAACATTTCAAAACTGCAAACATCTATCAAGCCAGCATCACACTGAAGGCATCTTTAAACATTCAAGCACAGACTGCTGGCATATACTAGTAAACCACTCTCTCTTTCTCTCTCACACTCTCTCTCATACATACACACATGCGCACACCCCGCACTATAATTACATTGTTTCCACGGTATGGTAGATAATTGATTCCCCCACCCCCAACAAGAAAGGTATCAAAATTTTGCTACTAAAAGATGACAGTGCTTACACAAGAATAAAGTACAAGTTACCTTGCAAATACAAGACAACAACAAAAATGTAATCTTGAGTTGTTTGATGAGAGAACTTTAAACTTTCCTGGCATCCACACCATATTGAAGTATGAATTAGCTCCTCACTTTAAGACTCAAGAAACCACAAAATATCAAGTTAGCTTTGAAAAGGTATTCCATCTTTCATAACGCTGTTGTGTGTCTGTCTGCTGTTCTTTGTTACTTTCATAAGAAAAGGGTCGCTGCAGTTTTTCTTTTTGCAGCAAAAATGAAGTTTCTGATTTTAAAAATGGAAGTGTTAGCTAAGATGACATTTGTTTGAAAAAAAGCACAAAATCTAGCTAGCAATGACCCTGATCAAGATTATGTATGTGCATAAAAGTACTGTATATTATATACTGTACTGGCCCTGTTAAACAAAATTCTTTAAAACACCCAAACAGTTAAAAAGCAAAAGAAAATGCTACAACAATATAATCAAACATATTCTCCCAATGTTTTTCCTCTCATAATGTGCAAAACAATATAAAGGCAAAAAGACTAAAAGCAAATTTACTGTTCCTGTCTTTTTTCTCTTGCCTAGTGCTTTTTGATCTTGTAGACTTTACAAAGTCAATAGGAATCTATGCAGAACTTTGGTATAAAATATTACAAGATTACTATCACAGTTTTGGGGGTTAGCATTAAGTGACTGATCTCTGGAACACCATCAAATGAAAGAGAAGTACATAACTGTACCAACACTACATGACAAGCACTGAAAATAATGACCAATCTGAAGAAAGAAAAACAAACCTGGGTGTCTATTAAGAGAGTAGAACCTGCTGTGCAATTCCTGTTTGCCAACTTTCAAAGCCAAATTCAAGTTTGAATTTTACAGATGAATAATTTTTAAACTACAGATTTCTCCTAGATGAAGGCTGCTCTCCTTGGTTTCCCTTTGAAGTTGCTAAGGAATATCTAAAAGCAATGCAAGTTTTTAATCAACTTCCGGAAGGCTGTGATTGGGACGGAGGAGCCATTACAATCTGCGAAAGCACGGGCTCTGTGCTCTGGTCTGCCATCGGGGTGAGGACCGACGTAGCCACCGCTTCTGCCTTGGAGGTTGAGCTTACTCCATTGGAAGTGCTGACTGAGCTATGCTGGATAGCTTCTGTGTGGGGGCTATTTGGCACGGAAATGTCTTCAGAACTATCGTCTTTATCTGTGGCTGGAAAGAAAAGAAAAGCATTTCCTTTGACTGAAATGTCTATTAGTGATAATTTTATATCAACAGAAGTGCCCTCCAAATACCATTGGGCTTGGGATTTTTCAGGCACAAACATCAATAACTTTTTAGAAGAGGTTATTCACTCATTTAAGGGTAACACTTACAAGGCAATAAAATAAATAGATTTTTATAGGAAAGCAAGGACTGCTAGCAAGTGACAGCATGAGTACTTTCTGTATCACTTAGAAAAATAAATGATTAATCCTATTCACTGTAGCCCCTTGTTCTCCTACTCATGCTCACAAAACCCACTCTTGTGGGTCAAGGGATCCTCCAGAAGAGAATGTAAAGGGGCACAGGAGGAAGTGAAGGAGGAAGCTTCCAGTGCCAGCCATTCATCCTAAAGCACCTTGGAATCCACGTTACTGTTTGGGGAATGTTTTGTCATAACCTCACAAATGTAGGTGGTTTGCCTGAAGGGCAAACCATGTTTTGATTTTAGAATACACAGCCCTTAAACACAGCTTTTCCTGCAAACTGAAAGTGTTTTCCATGCACTATAAATCAAATACTTTAAAAGTGAATCTTTTAATGATGTTTTCTGCCATTAGAATCAATATAAATCCAGAGACAAGAACTCCTAAAGATTCTCACCATGTAAATGTGGCTGTTTACTTTCAAATAAAGGTAGCTCTATAGGCTGTCATGCCTATGAAATATTTTTACTGTTCAAATGAGGAAACATACTAAGGAAATTCAAGGTATGATAATTCAAGAGGAGCATGCCTATTCAAAACTCGAATTCTAATTTTAGGGTGAGAAATCTTTGGAGGGTTCTCCAAAGAATCCATAAGGGTTTGGAGGTATATGATGAGTTAGAGGGAACCTCGAATCCATCTGACCTAGAGTGCTCTGTCAGGAGGGCAAGGGATGGAGCGGGAAGGAGAGAAATCAAAGGATCACTGGAAAGGTCCAGAAAGGCATTGCAGGACCCAAAGTCACACTATCCCACTCAGATGACTGTCCAGAGGCTTACTGAATGTCTCTAGTGAAGGAGAGCTCACAACTTCCCCAGTAATAGGTTCCATTGTTGTACTGCTCTGAGAATGAGGAAATCATTCCTAGTCTAGTTTATATCTGGGTTTTTAAAAACTTAAAACCATTGTTCTGTGTCCTGCACTTTGGAATGAATGGGAAGAGATCTTGTCCTTCTTTGTGACAGCCTCTGAGGTACTTGTAGAGTGCTAGCATATCCCTTCTCAGTCTTCTCTCAATCTTTCCTTACAGGGCTTCATCTCCAGTTCCTGAATCATCCTTGATGTCCTCCTCTGTAGCCTTTCTAGGGAAATTCTATTTTATGAGCTGTCTTCTCTTACATGACACTGGATATTGCCCTAGAAAGTAGGATTATAAAATCATCTGTAAAGAAATAATCCAGTCAGAGAAAACCCATTTGCAATTTTTAAAACCATTCCAAATTTAAAAACTGAAAGCACCAGAAGGTCTTAATAGAACAAAGACAACAGAACCCCAGGGACCTCAAGAACCATTAATCCAAGAAAAAGAACCTTGCCAGATTTTTTTTCCAGAAGCCTAATCTTGTTATATTGCTGTGGAAAAAAATTCAGATTCCCTTGTTTTCCTACAGGCACGAAGCCCCCTCACCCCACTATGATAACAGTAAATATGCATGTAGTTTTAAAATATTATGCTGCTTTTATGCCAACCCAAAATCACAGGAATTTATAAATTAAATAAATGCAATCTACAAATATTTTACTAAAAGATACAAACACACATGTCATTGTTTAACAAGGAAGAGTTACTGATGATGCACAAGGAAAATGACCAGTGATTTTAACCAATGATTGAGTTTGGATATAATGACCAACTCTTGTTTAGCTTTATGGGAATGAGCCTTCAGGCTCATGCATTTTCCTAGCCCAATGTGGCTGCAAGGAGACTCAAAGCTTTAGCTTCCATTTTCAATTAGATGTGTTTTATTCTTATATCTGAATTGTGGTTAATCTTAATAAGGCATAAGGGAACAAGGAGGGATGGAAAATAGTGCTTCAAAGTTGACTTCTTTGCCTAACCACAGTTTGTTTGGCTGTGGACATACCAGGTAACCACAGTTTGTTTAAAATGGAAGTGAAGGCTCCTGTTCTCCTTCTCAGACCGCAGAAGGAAAAGGTTGGAAGGAATTCACAACCCTGAGGCTCATTTGTAACATGCAAACCACAGTTTGACTTTACATCCAAAAAAGGCAAATCACTAGAACCAATTAAAAAAGCATATTTATTATATTTTAATCAGTCCAATAACCAAATTCTCTGAGCAGATTCCAAAAACATATTTTGTTCTGCAAACTGCTGAAAGTATAAATTTATGAAGAATTTCCAGGAAAATAATGGGAATTCAATAAATATGGTAAAATTCAATATAGAACCATGTTACTCTTCACTAAAATTCAATCCTTTTTTAAATGTTATTCATATTGCTAAAACTGCAATAAAATTTAAATGAAATGAAAAATGAAATAGCAAAAGCACAATACTAAACAGAGCCAGGACAATATTAATAGGGCATATACAGAATGTTAACTTTTTAGCTCAATCTTAATTCCACATTATGGACAGAGCAAATATTTGGACCCCTGGAGAAAAACAGAGGAAATATGTGACCTATAAAATGGTTGGGGTGGGATACTATAAATACTGTGAAATAAGCATAATAAGACCATTGTGGGGTGGTTATTAGATACTGAGCTTTAGGTAGTTGGGAGATATAAAAACCATGAAAATATTGGGATAAAGGAAAACAGTACAAAGGAGACTGTGAAGTTAGCATCCTGAAAGGTTTGGTACAAACAGGTAAAATATGAATCAGAAATAACTTGGGTAAGATGCCACCATGAAAGGCAACATATTACAGAAAGCGTTGTTCGATCATCTTTAGGTTTGGAATCTATATGCTGATGGCTTCTTAAAACAAGAGTGATGAACCTGTGGTGTTCAGAGATTTGTGGACAACCACACCCATTATTCCTGACTGTTTGCTTTGTTCCCTGAGACTACAGTCCAACAGTATATGGAGGATCACAGATTCCCCACTACTTTCATAAATCTATCAGAATAACTATGGAAAGTCCTTCTAAGAAAACTTTTCCACATAGTGTCATTAACAACTCGGTGGGCTGCAACTGATGTTTCAAAAGCCAAGATACATGAAGGGATGTGACATGAGACACCATGAAGGAATTACTGTCTACCGTGAAGTGTATTACACTGACCATCCTCAAAATTCCCAATTCCTGCACAGCTTCTTTCAATTTGAAAAGTACTCCATAACTGGGGATTAGCAACTTGTTGGGTCTGGAGGTCATGGCACCTGCCCTGACAACCAAAGATACAGATTTTCTGCTGCCCTAAATTGATAGAGGTTTTAAACTTAATATAGTAAATGAAACTAAACTGTATGCCATGCTAACTTTACATGCTATATAATTATGCAAGAACTGCTGTCAATAGCAAACAGAGCTGAAGTGAAATATTTGATGGGGAAATGGGTATTGTGTCCAGATTCACACACTGGGAAATCATTTTAGTGGAATACTTGTGATTATTTTAACAAATGACGGCTACATAATACACACTTTCCTTACACTGCTGGCCCAGTAAACTTCACATAATAATTTTAGCAGGCTTGAGGAACAGTGTGTGCTTCTACGGATAACAACCTGAATAACATTAATTTAGACTCTGATTTTAAATCTGAGTAGTAATATATTAGTTCCAGTTGCCCAAAGTTGGCATTCAATTAACTAGGAGCCTGCACCCTCTGTTTCTCAGGAATGCTATCAGTCTACTTTGGCCCCTCCACAGGCCAGAAAAGCAACAGTGGCAGGGAGCTCATTTTCCATCCCTGCCAGAAGGAACACTCAGATCCAAATGCCTGTAGCCCCGGGACTGCCGAAGCAGAAAGAACACTCTGGCCCCATCCATCAGCCAGCCTGGTCCAAAATGCATTTAAATGCCCACAAGACTCATCACCTTGTCCTGGCCTTGAAGAACTCAACTCCCTCCTCTTTCTTTTTCCTCCACTCCCCTTCTCTTGCGAGTCTTGTCTTTTTAGTTTGTAAGCAATGTAATACTATTTTTTGGCAGAATATGTATTGCAGTGGAAAATTTTCCACCTCACATTGCTGGTGGCAGTTGGTACACACCTATCAAGCTCTTAAATGAAAGATGCTGTGAGGAAACCATGATTAAAAGAACAGAACTTTGTACACTTAAGACTTTGTTTTTCTTAGAAACCTATACATTTTCATATAGAAACAAAGCTGTGGAGTGCTAGGTTTATCTGCAAGTGCTACATGATGAAGATAGTTGACCAAAAGCAAATGAAGACTTAAGGACAGTGAGGCTTTCTGAAGATGGCACCTCCAACAGAGGATCTTGAGTTTGCCCTTCTGTAAATGGAAGGGACTCAAATCTAGAGTCTCACGTGTGGAAGAAGGAGGATTTGTGATGTGATTTTTGCCAATTCTCCTTTTCCTCTTCAGCTCCCACTGTCATTTTCTCATGTTCCAACCTTGGGCAGCATATTTTCATGGGGAGAGCAACACAAAATTTAGGCATTATCTGTCCCCCTTCTACTGATGGGAACATGGTTTGAGAGAGATTCAGAATCTAAGCCAATGAATTTAGTTAAAATCATATGGATAAAAGTGCTTTTCCGAATCACTAACTAGTAGCTTTCCAAAGGAAGGGTTTCCACCAGCAAATTTCCAGGATTTTCTCCAAGGGTTCTCTTGCTACTTAACTACACACTTGTGAAGCAGCTTCTGAGTTTGTGAATGCCTCAGCTAAAAGAAGAGGAAGCAGTGGCATATTCTGCCTAATCCTCTTTGCCCTGCAGTACCTGAAGCACACTGCACTTAATGCTGAAAGATCCTCCAAATCATAAAAAATTACTCCCTGCTTGGCTATTAGCTGCAGTGTCTGCAGGACACCTGGATCAAAAATTGTTCCACAAGCAAACACCACCATTGGATCTTTGTCAAGTAACATGTTGGTATTCATGCAACTTCACTTTCATGAACTTGGTCTACCACAGACAGGTACCAAACCGGAAATACAGTAGTAATTATTGCTACTGTTACTGCTTTGAATATTCTAAACATCTAGGGTGGATCTCCAGGAGGGTCTGAAAATTGCTCAACATAGCTTAGAAAAAAATGAAAGGCAGCAAGTCTTCTGTAAAGTTACCCATGTTTACATTATCCATCATATATACTAAGCTATATTAACTATTATTATAAATCTGATGTGGTATAAGCAAATTCTTTATGTTTACTGCACAGTTATAATATTTACAATAAGCAATTTAAATACCTAATAGCATTCTGCCATAATTGATAACTGTCCATTCCTTCCACAAAACAATATCACTTTATAGCAGTGTAGCTGATTTTGAAATGTGGTCTATATGTGCATGTATGTTTATTGGCATAAACTTGGAGGTAGTTAAATATACAACCAGAAAGATAGCTCTCTTTCTCAGTATCAACATTCAAAGTGTCTACGCATGTTCAGCAACTATGCATGCAAAATGTTATCCTACAGCAGCTTCTATATGAAGTAATGTTGTTTTGTCAGATGGGAGCCATAATGGCCTCATCCCTGCAACAATCATTGTTAATATAAATTCAAAACATATTTCTACATGGTTTCAATTTGCTCCAAGATGCCACTTTCCATCCTGTCAAAATGACTGGAGATCAAAAGGACTGAGATTTATAAGCTCAAAACTGACAAAATCAGTGCTTTAAATATATACAGCCACAGAGAGTTGCTAAATCTCCTGAATCTTTTAAATTAAAAAATATTGCCCATTCTGATGAAACTGCTTACAATGACTACAAGTAAAGATGGTGGCCATTAAGTTTTATCGCAAGCACCTGAGGAACTGTTTGCATGCAATACAAAATGTTCTTTTATTCTCCTAAATTACTGACACTGGCAAATTAAAATGAAGTGGCTACATATGGCAGAAACAATCTTCACATTTACAAATATCCTGAAATATCACTAAATCATAAAAACGAAAGCTGTGGGTTATATATTATGAATGTTGCCTAATGCATTCCCAGCTCAGTTATTTGTAACAAATTTGTGTACAATGGACAAAATTGGCCATTTATTCTACAGCAGCAGCTGGTTCTAGGGCTGTGTTTTTTATCCAAAACATAAACTAACAAGAGATATACAATTAACCTTTAAAATGCTGAAAAAGTAAGAAAGCTATGAACAATATTTTTAATGCATTACTGATTTTACTTTTATATGTGCATTGGTACACTCATCAATTGAAGCTTTTTTCCTCTTCAGCAATCAGGTTATAGCAAAAAAGGGTGGTGAGGGTGGTGAAAAGACTGGTAAAGTAAAACAAAGAGCAAGGAGCTCCCATCTTATACCTTGCAACCCTTTTTGTGAAAAACCTCCTAGACTTTATTTTTTTTTTAATTAAAAATAGTATAAATATTCAAACAGCTTACAATCCTTCTGCATTAATACACACCAAATTAGGAGGCCTGTATAGGAACAGTGCATAGCTTTAAAAATTCTACAAATCCAGAAGAAGCTTCAATATGTCATTGCATTTATCTTGCAGTAACCTTGCAGAAATTGTTATATTTAAAGTGAAGTATTTGAACATCACTTCTCCGATTTAATGTTTTCTCTGTTTGCTTTGGCAGTATTTCACGAGTATAGCCTAAGGCTATAGGTAATGGAACATTACTCACTATGATAGCCAGATTTCTTCTGCATGGCTGTTACAGGGCAATCTTTATGAGCCAGAAGAAGCTGTTTCAGCTGCGCCACTTCATTTCTCAGCAGGGTGACTTCATTCTGAAGAAGAAAAGTTATATACTTTACCAAGATCAAGTTACATACATTTCAGACTGAGCTTTATAAGGTTTGTAAAGACAAATAAAAGGCACAGCACTCACACTCTATGCACACTCATACAACAAGAGCAGTCCCACTCAGACAGTTTATTTACATTTTCTACATTGAGGAAACTACTAGAAATTGCCATGAGTTCAGGATCTTATATCACAGTTTTTCATGATCTCTCCTTTCTGCATGCAAGTCCACTTATATATACCAAATTATGCACTATTTTAAAGGGAAGTTTCTTGACTGGCACAAATAAGTGTCAAATAACTGAATGGGGAATGAATCCCAGACAGTATATAATTAAGAATATATACAAAGTTTGTCTATAAAATTTATCAACAATATAGTTCCACTGACAGATGCAAGAAACAATAGCCAGACCAATGTTCTGGCTATTATGTTCGGCCCTCTAATAGTGAAACCAAATCTATGAATTCTGCTCCTGGAGCAGCATCCTACGCAAGTCACATGAGGAGTTTGGTCCCACTTCTTTTAACCCAGGGGTGTCGATCTTTCAGCCTGTGGGATGAATTCAATTTTGGAGGAGCTCTTGAGAGCTGCATTCCAGCAGTAGGAGGGGCTGAAGACAAAAGGGGTGGAGCCAAATGTAAGGGGTGGGGTCAAAATGCCAACCTAATTTAGTTCAAAGCTCTTACTGCCAGGAAGTAAGCCACAGAAGAGGTGTTTCAAGCTTGCAGAATGGGAGGGGATGGAGCAAGAGCAGGGAAACTACTAAATGGGGAAAGGAGCATGGTATCTGGGGAATTTTGGAGGGCTGGATTGCGACCCAAGGTGGGCCAGTTTCAGCTCAAAGGCCTGAGGTTCAATACTCATGAGTAAATAAACCTTACAAAAACCTTGCAATATTATCTTGCACTGGTGCTAGCCAGGCATGGGCATTTCAGCAAAAGTTTTCAACCCCAAACCACCTTCTGTTGCACAGGTGTACCACTGGCTCTTGTCCAATGCATCTGAACTGCTGCTGCCACTCAGTAACAGAGATACGGTCAATACATCCTCTATATGTGCAAGTACTATGTCCCTAAACATATAAGGAAGAATTTATCACTGCTGGAGATAAATTAAGAGAGCTGAAGGTTTGATCTAGGATAGGATGGTTTTGCCTATCCAGCAGTGCCTGAGCAATAAGTCAAGGTTCTTTTGCATTGGCTGTGTGACATGCAGGCTCCTCTACTCTGAAGCTAAAACCAACTAAACCTTCTAAAGATTTACTGAAAACAACATAAGCTAATAATGTAAAAAACAAAAACAACCCCTAAAGTATTTTGGCTAGGATTCTCTTTAAATATGGTCAAAGTTTACAATAACCTTCAATTTCACAGCATTCACACACACTTGCAAAAAATTGTAGCAGTTACTTTTTATATTAATATCATACTATATTAAGACCTACAATGGCTACAAGTTCCCAGAATGCTAGGAATTGAGCAGCAGCAGCAAATGGGCTGACTGCATTTTCATGGCCTTCATGACCTTTTTGTTTATATAGGCCAGTTTCTGGGAACATGGGTGGGAAAGCGTTGCTGCACTCTTGCTCTGTTTGTATCATTCTGGTGTGCAGCTGGTTGGCCACTAGGTGGGTCCTTGGTTTGACCCAATGTGATTTGAAAACCACACTGCAGCTGGTGTGCATGGATTGAGCATAATCTCTAAACTGCGCCTCATGTCAAAATGTAGTTTAGTCTCTTTGCATTCTGTTTGCTATATTACTTGTCTAAAAATTAGTAAGATTAACTTAATATTCATATTACCTTTTGAGGGAAAATAAAGACATACTCCAGTGACTTTATTTGCATAGAACTGCAAAGCCAGGATTGCTGGTAAATCCTGATTTCCATGAATTAACTTCATACAGCCCATCTGCTTCTCCCATTGGAAAGAGCAGCTACTTTGTATACTGCATAATTCAGATCCAGCATCCTGGCCTGTTGTTCCAAACTAGACTAAACCAAGACCATTAAGTCAGAAACAAGTCAAATGTCATTTGTGTCTCATAAATTCTGGCTTCTTTGGGGAGCAGTACGTCAGGATCGTGGACTAGGATAACACTCTGTTTCGAACAGATGCTTGTGTTGGGGAGGAGCCAAGTAGCAGCAAAGCGGCTGCATGCACATATGTGGCCAGTGAGTGAGTGAGTAGCATTAAACAGGAAAGGGGAGGAGGGCTGGTCAAGTTTAAAAAAACCCACAAGCCTACCTACCACTGGATACTACAGAGTGGCCTAAACTTGTGAGCCAGTGTGACAAATGAGAGCCATGTAAGTTCATTGACTCCCAACAAAATGTTATTTCAGATCTTCCTCAAAAAGTCCAAAGTAACTTATCAACTTTTTAAAAGTATTAACAAGTTTTGGAATCAGCAATTGTAACAATAATAAAAACTTGTGGGATGCACCCCTCCTGGTATTTGAGGCATTAAGTCCTGCATGCTGTAGATGCCAGTTAAAGACCTCTCTCCTCACACAGGCCTGCCTGATGGATTGTGCGGATCAATTTGCTCATTACCAGGCTTTTAAAATTTTAGATCTTTAGACTGTTTTGTGTTTTAAGCAAACCAGTACAAGGATAGTATCTATACATTAATTAAATAAGTAATTAATAAAGCAAACAAAAACACAATTCAGTTAAAATGCAGATAAGCAAGAAGGCCTTAACCTCATTCTCAAAAGACAGTCATGTAGCAATGTTTCAGACAGGAACCTCCCCGCTGAAAGGCCCTCCCCCTCACCACCACACAGTAAAAGGATTCTGGAGCTGATCTTAAAGATTAGGCGGATGCATTTGAAAGGAGTTCCCTTTAAATGATCTGATCCAAAGCTACTCTGGGCTTTAAAGATCAGTAACAGCTACCTGAATTGTGACAAACAGGAAGCCAACAAAGGTGACTGGTTAGATCTGCTTATACTGGCACGCCTTAGTTAACCATCTAATAATCATTTTCTTAAAAAAAAAAATCCAAACAGACTTTAAAGAGTAACATCATGCACATCACATTAATATTCTAATTTGATTCTTATTAGAGCCTGCGTATATTAACATACTAATTTTCTAGGAAAATTAGAGGAGGCTCAAACATGATGGTAAGAAATGCCTTATAGCATGGATAGAGCTTGAAGACACAACGTTGGGCTTAGATCTAACTCCTCCAAGCTATGAAACCTTCCCCTTCAAGGAGGAAGCAAGCTGTAAGAGATGACTATTAAACCACCGATTAACAGTAGCTCCATGTCTCATGAAGACAGAGCTGTTCCAACCCATTATCAGTTCCAAGCACCAATTCAGCACTTCCAGTGCTTCTACTCTCCTAGATGTAAAAGAATGTCAGAACCGTATGTTAGCAACACACTGACAGATCAATGTTCAACATTACCTCATCCTGCACTTCCGTGAAGTGCTTTAGGAGGTTAGGGGACCAATATCATGGGGCTGAATTGCAGTCACTATAAGGCTTTCAAGCATGTCATACTTCTGCTTCTTAAGGCTTATGCTATGCTTACCCATCAATCATTAAGATTTGCAAAGTTGGACACTAGGAACATGGCCTTCTTAGTGGTGGCTCCTGATATGAAGAAACCCTTCACCAGGATATACAGTTAGATCATTAGTTATGGTCTTCAGAAGGGGCTGGAAGACTTATCTGTTTTCAAATTATTTTTAACTGTAATAATTTTAATAATTATGCTGCTTAATTTACTGGTTTTTAGATGGTTACTGTGTTGGCTTGAATGATGTTAAATGATTCATTAACTATATTAATATTTTTAATTTTTGAAAATGTTGTTATTTGTAACTTGTGGTCTGACAGTACGTGTTATTGAAATTGTGATTTTATGGTTTATATTTGTTGTAAGACATGTTGTGAGGTTATTTTCATGAAAAGTAGCCTTTTTTTGTTCCCCAAACACTTATGGTTGCCTGAACAAGTGTTCAACAGGTACTTTTCAACCCATGTGCACAGCACTGGAGTCCATCTATATGAATATGGAATTATTGTGAAAAGGCTTCATCATTAATCTGAACAACAGTGTTAATGTCCCTGTAAAAAAATAGCTAAAGAGTTCTTCTGCTTGGCCCCATATTCTAAGCTGCTGATGTTCCAATTCTGTTAATTCATATTTTTACTAATTAACTTTATAAACTGATGTGATTAACCAAATCCAATAATTTGGCAATTTATGCTATTTAGCTCTAAAAAGAGTACTGTATAGTAATATTTCTATATTTCATATTCATATGCTACTTTTACTCCCTGCCCTATTTATTTTGCAGAACTGACAACAGATGAACAAAAACTATTGGGCCCTAGCATTGCTTCACAGCGAACATGCTATGGGATGCTGAACTTATTACATTCGATATTAAACATAGGCAATCACGGGTCATTACTGCCCACTATGCTGACCAGCTGTGCAAGTCAAGTCAAGAATTATTATGGAAATGGAGGATTAATATTTCCACATAAAGTACAGTTTAATTATTTCTTTGACATTCAATTTTCTTCACGAGTCATTCTGTTCTTCACAGTTGCCGATTTTGCTGCTGGCGGACTGTAAAAAAAGTCTCTCCTTCACATCTATTACTAGATTACAGCCACAAAAACGCTTAACTACATGTTTAAGCAGGAAGATCCATATGGAAATGTTGGCTGAATCTTGATATAAATGAAATAATGGATCAGCTAACATTATTCTAGTGACCAGTAACAAAGAATAAATAATACTTCTCAAATGGTACTGGCTCCTGGTTAGTTTCTGGGTGCAGAATTGCCATCCAAAGTGTTTTGATTTTGTAAAGCCCTGAAAGGTTTTTTCCTCCCCTATGCCAGGGTAAAATCTGGTCTGAGGGCCCCTCAAATTAGGAGATGGAAATGAACAGCAATGCAGATAGAAATGAACAGCAATGTCACTCTGTAGTGGTGTCCTCTGGATTTCCTTGCCAGAGGAAACTCATCAGGCTACCCTGTCAGTACAAGGGGCGTTCAATGTATTCTTGGTATCAGCATGAAGAAAAAGGAATAATAGAATGAAATAATTTTTATTTTTCAATGTAATCCCCCATAACTTCAATACACTTGTTACATCTAGAAATTAAATTTTCAATTCCCTGTAAAAAATACCCTTCCTCCTTGTCTAAAAAATGTGCATTAATTGCTGCCTTGAGCTCTTCATTGTCGGAAAATCGCTTTCCACAAAGCTCTTTGTTTAAATTCAGGAATAGGTAAGTAGTCACTGGGGGCCAGGTTCGGGCTATAGGGTGGGTGGTTTATTTCTTCGAAACCACAGTCTCACACAGCAGCCTTCGAAACATGCACCGTGTGAACGGGCGCATTGTCGTGAAGAAGCAACAAACCTATGGTCAGTTTTCCCTGCCTTTTTTCTTTAATTGCTTCTCTTAAATTACGCAGAGTGGTTGTGTAAGATGCTGCGTTTATGGTTTCACCTTTTTTCGTGTACTCGATTAATAAAATTCCCTTTGAGTCCCAAAACACTGTGGCCATGATTTTTCTGGCCAATGGAGTGACTTTGAATTTCTTTGGAGGGTCAGCACCTTTTTATGCCACTGCATGGACTCCTGCTTACTTTCAAGGTCATAGTGATGAATCCAAATTTCATCTCCAGTAACAATCTGGTTGAAAATACTCGATGGATCTTCACCACAGAGCTCTAAAAACTCCCTACTACACTCGACTCACACTTGTTTCTGAGGCGCCATGAGCATTTGCGGCACCCATCTTGCACAGACCTTTGAAAGGTTAAGATGGTCATGAAAAATAGTAAATATGGTACCAACGGATAGGTTTGTCATCTCTGCTAACACTTTCATTTTTATTCAGGCATCTTCCAATACAAGTTTCTCAATTTTTTCCACATTTTCTTTCGTAGTGGCAGTAACCAGCCCGCCCAAGCGAGGGTCGTCTTCAATGCTTTCTCTGCCCCTTTTAAATTCACTTGACCACTTTTGAACAGTAGATAATGAAGGCGCATAGTCCTGGTAAACGGCCACCATCAGTTCGTGAATGATTTTTTGACTTTTTCTTTGTGTTGCAAGGAACTTAATCATAGTGGGGTGCTCGATTTTCTTCAACATTGTCACGTAGGTTATCATGGTCATCTTTCACTGAGGATTACTAGGGAACTAATGATCACACTTATTTGAAATTTTGCATGTATACCCTCAGATAATGTCACTAGCTAATTACCCGCATCAATCAACCCTACACGAGAATACACTGAACACCACTCGTAACTTTTTGCTGATGTTATTGTTCATTTGTTGTATGTATCATTGTATTGTTTTGGTTATGCTAAATTTAATAAGCTTCTCAAGACAGGATTACAGGATAAAACATACAGGATAAAGTTAAGAAATGAAGTATTAGTTGTCCAATGTAAATTATCAGCCGTATTCCATCCTTGGATCATCTTACTTTTATCATGGCTGAAACTGCGCGCATCCTTTGGACACAACCATTTAAGATGATACACTCCAAAATAAAAGTACCAATTGTAACACTGGCTTGTGCTAGTGGAAAGCAGTTCCAAAGGTATCCGTTTTTGTTGAATGTGGCCCAACCACCCCAATGCAGCTTTCCTGCCCTTATTTTGTACTATTCTGAAGGTACGCCCAACACTCTGGACAACTATGGAGGCAAGTACCAGTGTATCAGCACATGCATATGGGAAAGCAAGAACTGGGTGCCTGATCTTGCTGAGCACAACTGCTGTCCATCAGCACAAAGCCAGCACTGGTTACAACCCTGTATAGCATATTTCTGAATAAGTGTAATATGGGATGTTTCAATCATAATGGTTACCCCTGTAATGAACTTCAATGCATTTTTAAAAGCAGTTAAATGGTAAATAAGTTACAGTTTAATCAAGAAAAAGAAAATACCTGTAGTTGGCCATTTAATGAGCTCAGGTCTTCTGCCTTCTTCTCCAAAGACTGGACCCATACTTTCCTTTTTTGTCTACATCTTGATGCAGCTGCCCTGTTCCTTTCTAGGAATTTCCGCCTTTTCTCATCAGGATCTTCATTTGCAGCTCTTCTTCGGCGACCCCCTGTATTTGGAGTTTGTGGTGCAGGCTGAGCTGGAGAAGCCTGTAATCATCCAAACATTAGCTTTAAAAAATTGGACATTGCACAAAATTGCACTGCTGTGACATACTATTCAGTATAGCCTATAGCAGCCTCATTTCATACAGAATCTAATCAGAACACAAAATCTTGTCTTTTTAAGAGTTTTAAAAGAAAAATAAAATGTCTTGGTGACCAGACAGTTAGAGGGAACGGCAACCATATGCATTTAGACTCCTGTTCCTAACTGCCTAAGTAAATGAGTCTCAGTAGTAACATAGTAAAGGAGTTAAAGAGATTACATGATCTCCTTTCCTTTTCTTACTGACTTTTAAAATAGAGTTGAGTTGCTTTGGTCAATGATATGTTAAGTGGAAAGGCACTGGACACAAGAGGCTTGGGAGATCGTTTCACCCTCATATCAGTATTTGCAACTGCAAAAAATGCTTTCCTAGAACAAAAAATAAAATATAATACTCTCTATACAAACTGCTTGTTTAGCAATGGAATTATTCTTTGTTTTCTTGAATTCATGCACTACATTAAAAGGAAAGAACTCCCACAGAGGACTGCCAAAGCCACTTTAAGCCATAATAAACCATTCCCAGATTACTGGAAGGCTGCATTTACATGATCTATAGGATTAGTTTGGACAAAACAATCCTGACTTATTAAACCATGGTTTAGCAAACCAGAAATGTGTCACTTCTTCACACTGACTCACCCCCACCTCTCTCCTTGATCATGCATACGTTTCAGCATTTCAGCCCTGTTGGCCCATTTGATTTCTGCACAATGAAAGCAATAAATATATTCTACAGCCTCCCAGATGGTTCTTGTATATAACTCAATTGGACTGCACCCACTTTCCCTTGTCTTCCAGCTTCCTGCTCCTTCGTTGTCCTAGCCTAATGTCAGCAGCTCTTTCAAAATATACTTTTGGGGATTTAAGAAGCTGTATGGAAGAACTACAGGTCTTTTTAATTGCAATAAACAGAGCCAGAAACAAGGCTTCATACCGGTGTTTCAGTAGTAGATGTAGCAGGCTGCTGCAGTGACTGCGGTCGTGCTTCCTCTGACTGTGTCCTAACCAGTCCACTTGCTTGTCCCTTCCCAGTATCTCCATTTGTTACCTGAGAGTGCTGCTGGGTCAAGGCAGCTTTTAATCTCTGAAAAGATAAAGATTCATAGTTTGCCATGAGGAGCCATGGTTTGCAATACCAAATTTAGAGCTTCATTAGCTTAAAGTTGCTTACATAAGCTGCCTCTGCCTGAACTAGCTCTCATTAGTTGATCCAGTGCTCTTGGCCAAACAGAAGTACCGAAACCAGTAAAAGGAAATAAGACTACAATACACTGTAAACCATTCTGGGAGCCATATATGGCTATTGAACAGTACATAAAAGGCAATAAAATAAATGAATAGCTACAAATTATCACTATTAGTGTGTTTTCTCGTCTGGATTGTTGCAAAGCTCTCTAAGTTGGGATTCCTTTGAAAACAGTCTGGAAACTTCAACTGGTTCAGAAAAGGGCAGTATGGCTGCTGACCAGGACTGACAAATACAATCATATAATGCCAGTCCTCTACCACATCCACTGAATCTGGGCCCCATTCGAAGTGTTAACACTAGTCAACAGTTTGTAGCCAGGGTTATCCAAAGGAGTGCTTCTTCCCATATGTGCCTACGTGGGCCCTCAGATCATCACTGGAGGTCCTTCTCAAAAAGGCCCCTCCTACTTCTATCAAACTTGGGACTCTTTTTATTACTGGCTAGAGAAACGGGACTTCGCATAGATTTAAATATGTTTTTAAGTTATCGTAAATGGAAAAAGAAGGGTGTGGGAGCTGACCCAGCGGGCTCGATGTTTTTGATGATGGATGTTGTTTGTAGTTTTCTTTTTGTTTTTTAGGATTATAATTTCAAATAAAACTTATTTAAAAAAAAGGCCCCTCCTTAGGAAATAAGGAGAATGGCTACAAGGAGAAGGGCCTTCTCAGCAGCGGCACCCCAACTCCGGAATCAGCTCTCCAGAGAGGTTCACCTGGCTCTGGCTCTTTATTCTCTTTTATCCTAATGCTAACCCTTTTTATTCACCCATATTTTAATTAAGATAATATTAATGATTTTATAATACTTTACATCTTGATTTCTATCCTGTTGCTGTGCCTTTTATTATGTCCCTGTTGTGAAGTTTTATAATGGTTCTTGGCCCTTTGCTGGATTTTACTATGGTATCATTTGTTTATTTTAATATTACCTTTTTACTGTAAATTTTATAATTTTGTAACCTGCTCAGACAACCCTCCTGGGTAATGAGGCAGGATAAAAATCTGATAAATAAATACACTACTGAGAATAAAGTGTTGCTCTAGCTATCAGTGGATCTGATGGCAAAATCCAATTCTACAGGTTGGAAGGCAACATGTGCCTGCCATAAAATATAGCATTAATCATACAGTAGTGTCTTTGCTGCCACTATTAGAACTGTTATTACCAAACCTATAAAGCCAAGCTAATGAGAATTACTGAAAAATACTTTCGTGCTCTGAAGGAATATCCTAGAACTGAAGCAACATTATTATTTTGTTGTGAGCCGCCCCGAGGCTTTGTTGTGATGGGGGCAGCATAAAATGTTTTAAATAAATAAATAAAATAAAAATCTCAACATTTTCATGCTGGCAGTCCTTCTTTTAGCAGAAGAATTGCCAGTATATTTTATTTGTTTGTTCTACAGAGGAGATAATTTTAAAACTCAGGCCAAATCTGTATAGAACCTGCTAGTGTAGACTGCTTAGCCTTCAACAGAAAATGAAATCATTTTCAGCCTATCACACAAGAGTCAAGTGCCCTTCCAGCTGGCTCTTTTTATAGACTCCCTGCTACTGGGGCTAGATGCCCCATTCACTCCCAACCCTGCTACTATTTTGTTCAGTCGCCAGGCCAGCAATGGCTATAGCTCAGAAATATGCTCTGGCAGTTGCAAGACAGGGAAGGAAAGGGACACGAAGAAAGAGTTGAGCGATGGAGAAGTCGCATCACCTCTGGATGACTGCTGAAAGTAAATTCTGTTCAAGAGGCTTTCAGTTGCCAGCCCAATTTTGAGCAGGTATTCCTATATAATCTCAATTGTTTTATAATGATTTACTATATTAACAAAATGTTCCAATGACAGACTCAGTAATAGGAGCTGTTAAACAGATACATGACATCAGTTCCTAAGTTTGCTCTTCCTCCAAGGAGTTCAGAGCAACAAACATATAACCACAACCACCCTAATGAAGTAAACTATGCTGAAAGATTTGCTTGAGACTGCCCAGTAATCTTCATAACTTACGTCTTCACCTTCACCATATTGGTGGAACAGTGATTTTTAGTTTAGTTATAATAAAATGCATATAAAATACTTGCATGCAATAATGTCACAATACTGCTGAAACAAATATATTCTATTATTGAACCGCAAACAAAAACGAGTGTACCCTTGAAAATTAATCCCTATCACATCTGTCTATATTGATAAGAACAGATCACTCCATCATAAGTTCACAGAAATAAGAAAATATATTGTAGAAACAATTTATGAACGAGTCAGATCCATATTTCATATCTGCCACAAAACCTCATCAGAGTAATAACCCTCCTTCTCTTGGGTGTTATCTTACCATCTGCTGCTCTATTACTTATCTTTATTTTGCAACTAATTAACAGCATAATCTTCTAAATTCAGCAAGTTAATTATCATTATTGTGGTCTTTGCAGCATCATCAGTCCTCATGAAGTCTTGTCTCTCCCCTCCCCCCCAGAGAATGTATGAAAATGAAGTGGGCTGGGAGAGGGTCTGTTTCTTCAGAGCAGGCTCATTAGGTGTTTGCTGATTAGCTCGGCATGCAGAGAGGCAGGTCAGGATAATTCTGTGGAACACAAGGTCCCATGCCGAGCTCAACAAAGTTAATGTGAATTTCTGAACATTTGCCAAGCTGCCCTCTGTCAACTCCCAGTAGCGATCCCTGCAGAAAACCTATTGGCTACTCTCTATGCTTCAGCTATTTCTCAATTTGTCAAAAACAAAAACAAAACCCTTTTAGAAAAAAATGGGGTTTTTTTCCATGCAAAATGATCCTGCTATGATGGGTGTGTTTTACTTTTACCCAGAAACAACATGTTACCTCTTCATGTGCTATAAATCTGACATTTCAGATGTTTTCTCAAATAAATCAGGACCAACTCTGAAATGAATTTTAATCTTTCATTTAAAGACTTGTATATGACTACTATTTTTATAATGTTTATGCTGTTTCATAGGAGTTTACAGCATGTATATTGATTCATGTTGGTTTAAAAGAGGACAGGTTAATGCTACAAGGTTCTTACAGCAAAGGGAAACAATTGCATGTGATTCAGGCTTAGCCACAGACAAAAATGTTTTATAGAGAAGCTTTTTTCACTATTTATTAGTAAGTCTCCTACACTGCAGTAATTACATTAGTGTTTGTTGATAACTGGGAAGCAGTAGTGTTGCTGCTACTGAACATGCCAGTTTGGATCTAGAGTTGCCCTTCTGAAGGAGGCACCCATTCATATAAGAAGGGAGTTCCAAATTCACCCTTACTCCTGCAGCCACCTGCTCAGTTGCCCATGATGTTTCAGATGTCCTCGATCCCTTTAAAAAGAATGAGAGGGGGTTACCAGGGAAAACTGCTTCCCCACATTTCCATGAGCAGAACTCTGTTCACAGGATCTGTGAATCCAATCCACTATTAGGCAGGGAACATCTTAAATTAAGCTTCAATACATACTCCTAGAATTGTTATATGTATAAAATGTTAACCTTAAAACACACACAGTGTATTTTTAATTTTCCCTTGTAATGAACTGCCTGGGAAAGTAGTGCAGAATGTTTAATAGCAGAACTGAAGCCTTATATTTCCATCCAATTAATTTCTACTTTAGGTTTTTGCTATAATTCTACTGAGATTAACCTATGTATCAAATGTAACCTATATATCCAAATGACTATACTTCAATGTACATTGGGCAAACCCTGCACAAACTTAAGCATTAAATCAAAGCTCTAAAGGAGCTTTGGAACTGGAACACACGTAAAGTTTTCATATTAGCATTTATATTGTATGAAGGCATTGAAATACTATTTTTCCAAAGTGCTCAACTCTGCTAATTCCTGAGTAAGTTGTAATTTAATCCTTTGCATCATACAGGAGCAAGTTCCACCAAGTTCAGCAGGACTTTAAGCCAGCTTGATCTTTAAAAAAATGGAAGAGTGGCACATTAAATCTGTATGATATACACATTTAATCTGTAATTTCAACCTTTGGTTAAACATCTGCTTTCAATAAGACTGACCAAATGGAATCAAATTTTATCTAATTCAGCATCCAGCATCTTTCCCATCTACAACTAGTGACCCCTCTGATATTCTTTCTTCTAATAAACTAAACCTAAAGCAGTGCCAATTATGCGTACATTTACAGATGTGGAATCAAGATACAGCTGTGCCACTGACATAATTTTCAGCATGGTCTGTCACATAAATCTTATAATTCCAAGCTGGCAACACTATGAAATACCACTAGAGAGCACAAACAGATTTTAATCCTAGTTAAACACTCTGGGAACGACTTGCAATTAGAACATGTAAAATGGGCTGGTGAGCTTTCTTTAGATGAATGCAGCCACGAATGTAGATATGGGTTAAAAGAGAAATTACCTCTCATTTCTACAGATAAGCATAAATAAAATAATTCTGTAAGCATTCAAACATTTGATGCACCACTTTAAAATAGCACCAACATCTACTAAAAGAAAGCTGAGGCAGTGATTTTCCATTTGTTCATATAATGTTAGAACTGGAAGCAATACATAAATAGTAAATTAGTTCTAGTGCAATAAAATATAGATTTAAAATGTGAAATAAATTTAAGTTATCTCCTAAGAAAAGGTCTTCACTATTTACAGAACTACTATAACTGATCTGGTTACAAATGATCCTTTTACATGTTTAAGCCTTCCCCAAGTGAAAAGGAAAAAAATCCAAATTTTTTCATCTGAATTGAGGTACTGTAATTATTAACACATTTAGGAAACAATCCTTTGCAATTTAGATAGAAACAAAGGCCTACAGTTCCCCGCATAGTTTGCTGGGGCATGCTGTGAATTGCAAGCTTTTTTCTGTCTAAACTTAAATAGGACTGTGCCTTTAAATAACTTGCTGTGCAAATCTATGCATGTTTACTCAAATATAAGTTCCTGTATATCTCTAATTCAGTTTGCATTCTTGGGATTTGCAGCCTTAAACACTGTTAAAATAATCTCAGATTCTAATTGTTTGACAGCTCTAAACCACATCTAGAACAATTACGGCTTAATTTGAAATATTGTCTTGAAAAGAGGAAGAGTTGTACATTTTCATTGCACCTGTAGAAAAACTAGAACAAGATTCATGCTCCTCTGTGCCAGAGAAAATACAGTCAGATACATTTCCTCAGTTTATGTCCAGGATCTGGAGTTGCTTCTGCAACTAAAGGTCTAGTTTTTAAAATATTGATCACCTCACTGAAACAAATAGTGAAAATGGAAAATACTCACTAAGGGAGCGATTCTATCTCAACGGCCGATTTCAGAAGGTGGTGCTGCGGAACTCCATGGCATAACTGCCATGGCACAGAGCCGTAGTTCCCCAGCACCACCTTCTGAAATCGGCCGTTGAGATAGGAGCGGAACCACCGCCACGCGGTGCCTCCAACTCCCAATCCTGCTAGCCTATTCAGAAGGATACCATGGTCGATGGTATCGAAAGCCTCTGAGAGGTCCAGGAGAACTAACAGGGACGCACTCCCCTTGTCTCTCTCCCTGCACAGGTCATCATACAGGGTGACCAAGGCAGATTCAGTCCCATACCGAGGTCTGAAGCCGGACTGAAATGGGTCCAGATAATCAGTTTCATCCAAGAGTGCTTGGAGTTGTCCCGCCACCACCCGCTCTAGCACCTTGCCCAGAAACGGGATGTTGGCCACCGGTCTATAATTGGCAGCCACCTCTGGATCCAGGGATGCCTTCTTTAGGACTGGCCGGACTACCACCTCCTTTAAAGGGGCAGGTACCCGGCTGTCTCTTAAAGAGGTGTTGACCACCTCCAGGATCCAGGTCCCAATCCCATCCTTGGCTTTCTTAAGTAGCCAAGATGGGCATGGGTCTAGTAAGCAAGTGGTAGGACGTACTTGTCCAAGCACCTTGTCCACATCATCAGGCCGCAACAACTGAAATTCATCCATTAATTGTGGACTCGATAGCGTCGATGGCATCTCCCCAGTAGAATCTGATTCAATAGCAGAGTCAAGCTCGTGGCAAATCTGAGCGATTTTCTCCCTGAAATGCTTGGCAAAGTCGTCACAGCGGGCCTTCGAGGGTGGCACAAGATTTTTCTTCGGGCCTGGATGTATCAGCCCCTGTACCACCCGAAAAAGCTCCACCGGACGGCATTGTGAGGAGGCAATGGAAACGGAGAAGAATTTCTTCTTCGCCATCCTCACCACCACAGCATAGGCCCGATAATGGGCTCGTAAGTGTGTTCGGTCAGAATCACCCCATGAACTCCTCCACCTGCTCTCTAGACATCTCCCAACCTGCTTCATCGCCCGTAATTCAGGTGTATACCAAGGAGATGAACGGGCTCTGCCAGGTGGGAGAGGACGCTTGGGAACGATCGTGTCAATAGCCCTGGTCATCTCCTCATTCCACAGTTCAACCAGGGCATCGACAGGATCACCAGCCTTGTCAACCGGAAAATCCCCCAGAGCTTCCAGGAATCCATCAGGATCCATCTGGCTCCAGGGGCGGACCAATACAATCGGGTCCGCACCCTTGCAGAGGGAAAGACCGCTCTCGAGCTCAAACCTTATGAGGATAAAGGGAAGAGACTGGACAGGTCAGAACACAAGATATGCCAAAGCTACTCTATCTTCTTTTCCTCTCCCTCTGAAATGCTCCACCCAGGTGAGGAAAAAGCAGCACTCTAGCTAAAATACTTTGTTGCCCGAAAATAAGTCTGGGTCTTATAGTAATTTTTGCTCCAAAAGATGCATTAGAGCTTATTTTCAGGTGATGTCTTCTATTTTTCTTACAAAAGATGGAAGATTCTTGTCCCGAGAGTCCTCCAAGATTCCTTTCTTGTATTCAATGGAATAGATCTTCTTTTTGCTCTAATTTTGTCTGGGGGTCAAAATATTATTCCCTTTAAATCTACCATTAAATCAAGTGTTAATTGAAGACTTATGGGACAGGAGTGGCAACATACCAGTGCATTAAGTATGTCCATTACAACACACAACGTGTGTTCATTATCAAGTGTGCATGTTATTTGTGTGTTGTGTCTGTACTTCGGTCATTCAGCAATAAGTCTCTAGTTAATCTGTTTACAGAGGCATTTATCTCTCATCCAAAGGTGCCCACTTGGGTATTTACAAATACTTAATTATAATGTATAACAACGTTATTTAAGTATTAATGTCAATACTATTATTTATTTATATTTAATCATATACTAATATTATTATTTTATAATTCAATACGTCCATTGTGTGTTGCAACAGATGCATCCATCTGGCTAACGATCTTAACTGGGGTTTATTTTTGGGGTAGGGCTTATATTACGAGCATCCTGAAAAATCATGCTCGGGCTAATTTTCTGGTTAGGTCTTATTTTTGGGGAAATATGGTAACTGTATCATGACAATGAGAGCAGGAAAGATTCAGAGACAAAGACTGCCACCACCACCCCTCCTGGTCTGTATTGGAGAAGTGTGAGCTTCCAAGTTAGGAGCCTTTTTCTCATTCAAGTAGGAATGTGCCCTGATTTTATCAACTAATGAGACTGGTAAAATTTAAATTTAGTTACTTTACCTTCCTTGATCTATGTTTTGCAAATATAAAATTGATAATACACATTTTGGAACAAAACGACAGCCTACACTGCAAATAAGCTATGTGGTGTTATCCTGTTTATCCTGCTGTTATCCAGTTATCCTAATTAACTTTAATTAACTAGAGTTAGAATAAAGCCACAAGTTCCTATGCTTGATCATAATGGAAAAAATGTGATTTACTTAAAAGTGGATGCTTTAAATTTATTAAACTTATTTAAATCTTGTTTTTCCTTTTGCACTATCATGTCTTCAAATTTAGTATAATCTCTGCATCTACCTTTTTTCTTTAACCTGTCCTTAGTCCAAGATTCCAATTAAATCACATCAAACCAAGTTACATTTCCTCTTCTAATGTCACTTTACTTTTATCATTATTGGTCATCTTCACAAACCAATCTTTATCTTGATAATTTGTTTATTCTTCAATATTTTCCCCAAACTTTCTCTTAAATTTACTAGAAATCCTTCTATAATTGGCTGTAATGGCGAAACTGATGGCATAAGCTTTTCTGGACTCCAAATTTGTATCATATTTTTAAGGAAAGTATTTTCTACCTCTTTTATAACATTTTTATTATGATGATTTTAAAAGCATTTAAAAAGGATCCTTCAAACTGAAAAAAATCTAGCTGCAACTGTATTACCTTATCAGGCTGTAGTATATTATCTGCTATTGGCCTCACTTGATTTGCTACATTAGGAACTTTACATTAGGAAGACC